GTAGGTGGTAGATCTGGGACATGGAGTGACTTGTGTCAGTGGCTGCTTTGGCCAAGGGCAGGAAGGGTGGCGATGCCCAGCACACGGGGAGCGTGTGGGCACACATAGCCTGCCTTGAGGGGTCTCTGATGCTCTCATGGGTACATGCAGTTCTCTGAATTGATGGTTGTTTTGGTGGTGACAATTTGAGCTCAGCACCTCCACTGACAGCTGGAATCACCCGCGTGCCGCTGGCCGGCAAAGCCACGCGGTTGTGTTGGGCTTGCGTGGCTGCTTCATCCTCTGGGTGCCGGCTGTCACTGCTCCACCAGCGGCGTCGAGCTGCTCTACGGAAAATCCCCCGGGAACACCCAGATCGGCCCAGGAGCGGCCGGCAGGCACCTCGCCTCGGAGGCAGCCTGAGCCCGGGCTCACAAACGCGGTGCTTCATCCTCGTCCAAGCAGCCTTCCACTCGAATGAAGAAGGAGCCCCGGCCGGTGGGACTTGTAATCTCCTTGGGTCGTAGACGTTGATGTTTCATGGCTAAGCTCCAACTGAGCTGTTGAATTCTGAATAGTTTAGCTGGCAAAAAGCTAATAGAATTGATACATTGTGCTAAACCTCGTGACACCAACTGTGCAGTATTTTTTCTTCTGATTCTTGCAAGCACCAGTTCAGACGTACGTATTTGCACAGAAAAAAAGCAACTACTTGTGCAGTTCTGTGATCTGTGAGCTTTTTAATTACCATGATGGTAATTCCAGCACATTGACTGACTGCTCTTACTTTTAGTGCTGCACTAGCCATTTGCTTTATGTCCTGTTAAAGGTAAAAAGACTAACTGCTCTGTAGATATGCTTGTCCGCTTTCATTAAGCTTCCTTAAGCTGTGCAAAAAAAGCCGCACTTAATTAGCTTTCCTTAAATTAGGATTGATATACCGTCCTGTATGTGTGCATGCTGTCGTTACTGTCTAATAAATGGAGCCGTCTGTTCCGTGAGGCTTTTCCCAGGTGGTTGGTTTGAAGGATGGCAGTAGAGGGAGCGCGGGCCGTGTCTCTAGGCTGTGCCCAGCCTGGCGGGGACGCGGTGGTGGCCGTCGCTCTACGTCAGGGCTCCCACATCCCGGCTGGGCATGGCAGGCTCCGTGCAGTGCGCGGGGCAGGTCCTTTGCCGTCCTTTTCCTGCAGGTCCACCATGCTCGGTGCGAGTTGTGCCTCTAGCTCATAGGCAGCTCTCAGCTCGAGTGCCCAAAAGCCTCTGGCAGCAGGAGAGGAGAGATTTTATTCTTCCATCAACAGGAGCTCCATGCCAGAGCAGTCTCCGTCTGTGAACTTGCATCAAACAAGTTTTGGATGAAGCTCCTATGGTCAGTGCACAGAGGCTGGGGGTTTCTTGAAAGCCCACGTTGATCTCTGAAGATGCATCTATAGAAATCCACAGAGTGTAAGTGGAATATGAAGACCGGAAAATCTTTTACACTCCATGTGTGTCTTTATCTCCTAAGCCAGTTTCCTTTAACTAACCAAGTTGTGTGTATGTTGGAACGAGTGGAGTTGGAACATCTCATTACTTTTGCAAAGTATGTTTTGACGATTTTAAATGAATAAAACAGATTTTTATTAGGTGTAATGACAATGAGAGATGGCTCCTTCGGGGCTTTTGAAGAGGGAAGAGAGAGGGATGATCAAGCTTCAAAACGCACAGGGTCACCTTGGCAGCCTTCCAGAAGCTAGAGACAGCTGCCAATTTGTATTTATCTGTGGTCAATGCAAATATGCATGAATGCAGCCATGATATTCGCTTGTGCTTAAGCAACGTCTTGGTTAGCAGGTGCATAAAAAGTACTGTTGCTTTGAGGTTTAGTCATACAACTTAACTGCAGGTTGGCTTGGTCATACTCAAAAATGTGGTCCGATATCTCTGCAATCCTTTGTGCCGCAGCCTTAGGGATGTTGTTCTGACAGGCAGTGTGGTCAGCAGAGCAATTTGAACGGTCACGAGAGGATTCACCACATAGCAGGGAGCAATGTTATTTCTTCACCCACATGGTTTTTAGCCGCTGCCTCCAGGGTCCTCTCTGTGGGTTTGCACAGGAGTGTTGGAGCCGGGGGACGGGGACAGTTTGCAGAGCAGTGGGCAGGCTGCCCTGCGCCCACCCAGCCTTTGCTCCCTTTGCTCTGCCTTGGGATGAGACATGGATTTCAGGCAGTCTGCAGATAGCAGTGGACACTGACAGCACAGCAGGAAAAGCAGGAGGAGGTGGTTGAGGCTGCGCCTTCTCTGAGACCGTGCCCTGGAGGAGCATCTGAGCTGGGCGCCGCGCTCGCTGCCTTACGTACCAGCTCGCCCAGTGCGATTACCAGTGAGCAGAATTTGCCCAGGAGACTCTCACTGGGTGCATTTCTGTGCACCAGTGATCTCACAGCTAGGAATTTCAAGCTCTACTCGAGGATCAGTGTTTCTGGTTCCCTTGGCCACCAGTTCTGCAGCTTGTCCGTGGGGTCCTCCTGTCAGAGAGCATCATCCCTGGGTTCCTTGCACAGTGACTTTCCTACCTCACCTTGCAGTCTGTGCCCGAATTAACTGCCTGTGACAAGCTACGAGCTCAAGTCCCCTAGCAGTTTTAAAGAAGCCAGTTTGAGCCTGGTGGTAAAAATGCATCCCAGCTGTGCTGCATATAGAGGCTTGTGAGAAATGCTAAATTGTATTCGTATCTGTCCGGACACCTTTGCTTGTGACGTTAAGTATCTGAGCCTGTTTGTGCCTGCAGCTTGCAGGCCGAGAGGCCGCTCCAAGCAGGACCAGCGTGTCCTCAGCTGCAGCGAGCGCTGCAGGGGCTGCATGGGGTGTCTGCAGCACCATCCCCCTGCGTTTGGGCTGTCTGAGCTGGGGCCCATCATTGACCTCCACAGCAGGTCTGACTCGCCAAATCCATCTCAGCAAAGCAGCTCTTTAACTGCTACAGTTGTATAAATGTGCTCGGAACTTGGCACCTGTGTATTCATGCTCGCTTCTTTCCAGGGCAGACTGCAAATATGCACTTTGTTGAAACCAGCCTGCTAATTTTTAAACTGCCTGCCCGGAGCTGCGATTCGCGATGGGTGGCAGATGCTTGTGGCTGCAGGCCCCAAACATCTGGGCTAAACTATCTGTTCCATTGACACAGGAACTTGCATTTTCTTTGAAGAAGCTCTTAAAAGTTTTTTCATGGATACTTGTCAGTGTAAAGCAAGCCATCCGTTTCCGTTCAGTGCTGTTCTTTTAAATTAAGTAACTTAAAGGAAGATTTATGAGATGTGGCTGTGGGGTGGTTACAGTGCCAGGCTGCTGTTGCTGTTAGCCTGCGTGTGCTAGTGGAACCTGGTGCAGCAGAACCTGCACCCTGGCCAACGTATGTGCTGGCATACCCTGCTCATGCTATGTCTGCTATGTATCTATACACATGTGCTTAGAAATAGGGCTTTTTTATGTGTGTTTTTTACTTTTCAAGCCTTTAGGTTTGTTCCCGGTGCTGGAGAGCTAGACAGCAACAGATCAAAGTGCTGGTAGTGTTGAAAAGACTTTATATCTTTCAGTATCACAATCTGTGATTTGTTTGGATGCAAGTGAAGGATCAGACACCCCCGTGCGTGCCGGGGATTAAGGCGGCTTTGCTATCCCGTCGGAAAGCTCACGTATTCTAAAAGACTTTCAAAGTCTCCAAAGGGAGTGAAGTGCTTTAGTGATTTTTATGTCTTTGAAAGCCTCTGTTTAGTGGGCCTGGTGGAATTACCTAAATGTGCTGCCAGCTGTCTGCCACCAAGCACTGCCACCCAAGCATCCGAGCGCCGGAGTGATGGGCCTGCAGAGACTGAGCCCTGGCTCTCGCTGTGCAAACGCCCAAGCAAAATGCCCAGGATGTGCTAATTCCATGGGACACTCGTTCCTTTAAATGTTCACTGTGATTTCTTCCCTCCAACCTCTCTGACCCTGGGAGTACATTGATGGTTATTGGTGTAAGAGAGAAAAATAATATACTTGCTCATTAAGTATCCGCAGTTGCTGGGCCTTCCTGTGGCAAAAAGAAAAGGGGAAAGGGAGCCGTGCAACATCTGTTCTATGGCACAGTTGCTTTATCCTGCTGTGCTTGGGGATTTTTTTTAACTGGGGAAGAGCTGAGCTGTTCTCAAGATCGAGGCAGCATCAGAATCACCCATCTTCATTTGCTCCTGGTGTCCCTGCTGTGCAGTGTACACAATTGCATATGGGTATAAGTGATCCAGGACAGGGACCATGTATTCAAGGTAGTGTCTCTTATATTGCTTTATGAAAGTGGTTCAGCTTCAGCTTTTCCTAAGCATCAAGAACTTGATTTGCTAAATCCAGTTGATTTGAAGATCTTTGTGTAATTTTCTTACTGTTTCCTATTGAACCTGCTTTTCTTTGCTGTGTAACATGTGGCACAGTTGTTGTAAAACACTGCACACTTGGAGTGTCTTTGCTGAGACCAAAACTCCCACTTTAGTCCCCATGGAGCTTGTTTTGTCATATTTCACAGCCTTTACTCTATGCTAGTTGTGTTCATGGAGTTACAGCTGCTACAATATCTGCTCTTATGCACTGGGGTGTGGGTTATTTGTTTCCAAGGTAGTTTTGCAATTAGTAATGATGTTTTTTCCCTCTAACTGGAAGGCATCAAGCTTTTTTTCTGCATGCTGCTTTAGAGTTTATTTGATGTGTAAATTGTTTAGGTTTTGTGGAGGAAAATCAGTAATGGGATAAATGCTATTATAGGTAAACTGTTCTACCAAAAATAAAAACAAACAAAAAAGCTTCACTTGTCCAAGACGCTTTTATTTTTTTTAAGATTAGATTTAGACTTTCAGATGAAATGGAAAAATATTTCAACAGCCTGAATCTTCTGAAAACAATATTGTTGTTGTCTCAATGTCTCTGATAGTCTTTCTGTTTTGATGTCGTCTTAATGACCGGAAGATAAATTTTATTTCTTTGGGGTTTTTCTTTTCTTTTTTGGATAGGAAAGAATGTATCTTCACCATCGACCCATCAACTGCCAAAGATCTCGATGATGCTTTGTCCTGTAAACAACTCCCTGACGGTAAGAGAGAGATTTTACAAAACATTTCTCACTGTTTATATTCAGCAGTTGACACATTCATGTATATAATTTGTCATGAGGTATTCTTTACCAAATACGAGTGGAGTGATAAACTAGTTTTTCTCCTGTTGTTTTAATTGCCTGTTTTGGGAAACCTTAGAGCAGATATCTTCAAGCTGCAGTCTGACAATGTCTTGGTAGCAAGAAATACAGACCCAAATCGCTTTGCATAATCAGAGCTGTAATTTGATTTGAGCAGATCTCAGCTGTCTCCTGTCATTATGGGAGCTGCAGCTGAATAGGTAATATTCCACTCTGGCGTACTAGAGTTTAGTGGAACTTTGACCCTGACTACGCAATTCCTGGATAAAGGAACCCAGTATTTTGAAGGTCATTGGCTGAACTGCTTCTTGGTCTTTGTTTATGGGATGCTGGGAGTTGTCAGATGAGCAGCATGTGCTTTCTAAGTTGTGTTAGTCTTCTCACTGCCTTTCAAGTTTTGTGTTCTGCCTTATTTGCACTTTGATTATGCTAGAAGCTAACAGAACAGAAAGCAAAGCTCTAGAAGCCAAATGTTGATGATTCTGACTTCAGAAACTTCTGTCTTGTAAGCTTGCTTTGCCATCCAAGTTCTGCTCACTTAATTTGATGAGATCCAGTAACAGACTTGGTTTAGAAATACTGGATGACTTGATTAGCACATCCCCTACTAATAAAGAAGATAAAGTGACTTTTTTGTGTGCCTGGATTTCCCCGTTCTTGTTAATCATCACAGTATAATACTATCAAAACTATGATTTCCTGTTTTTTCTTTTTTTGATTAATTTCTGTGCAATGTCACTAATAAATTGTTTTGTCACTTAGACACAACTACAGTATAGTATGATAAAGCTGTTAAGTTGTTAAAAAAAAATCAGAGATGAAAAAAATTCAGGCCAATGAAATTATTTCCAATTGTATGGAAGCAGTTTTGAGGCAATGCTAAGAAACAAAAATATGCTTCTATCCCACAGAAAATTTACACAGTGTCTTGAGAGTTCCTAACCTTAACTCTGTTCTCCCCCTTTCCCCTTTTTCTAAATTATCTGTAGATTTATAGCAGCATTGTGTGCCCACGGTCACCCAGAACAAAGGTACTGAAACTGCCTGCTGAGGCTCCACTAATCACATATGCTTGGGGCTTAGAAGCTGCATTAAAGGGTTTTTGGTACATATATCTGTATTTTTATCTTATCCATAAGGCATTTGGAGAATGGTTTTAAGGAAGGTGTCTGTTCGAACAGGATTTCTTTCTTTCTGGGGACATCCTACAAAGCCAGTGCAGGAAT